CATTCATTCATTCATTCATTCATTCATTCATTCATTCATTCATTCAATTTGTATGCCACCCATCTCCCCCAACGGGTGACTCTGGGCAGCTCACAATTAAAACAAAACCCAGAAACAATTAAAAAATAAATAACGTTAATTAATTAAGATTGATTAATCAATTAAAAGGTGAAAAAGCAAACCCTATGCATAAATAACTAAAAACATTCAAGATGATGGGGGGCAGAATCAATTACCCCACAAGCCACTTCCACCGATGAGAGCCCCAAACTGGCCCCCAGGACATCTGGCATAGCCAGGATTTCAGGCGCTTCCTAAAGGCCATGAGAGTGGGGACACACTGCACATCAGGAGGTAAGTTGTTCCACAGGGCAGGGGCCACGGCAGAAAAAGCCTTTTTCCTAGATCCCACCAGTCGAAATTCCTTGACTGGTGGGGTCTGCAGCATGCCCCTTCTGCCAGACCAAGTGGGGTGGGCTGATGTAATGGGAGTGAGACGGCTCCTCAGATAACCTGGTCCTGTGCCGTGAAGGACTTTAAAAGTGATAACCAAGACCTTGAATTCGACCCAGAAGCAAACCGGCAGCCAATGCAGCTCGCGTAACAGCGGTGTTATATGTGCCCCCTTGGGGGCATTCAGAACTGTCCACACCACCACATTCTGTGCCAGCTGTAGCTTCCAGACAGTCTTCAAGGGTAGCCCCATGTAGAGCGTATTGCAGTAATCCAACCGGGAGGTGACCAGGGCATGAGTGACCGTGCAGAGGGCCTCCCAATCAAGGAAGGGGCGTAACTGCCGCACAACACGAAGTTGTGCAAAGGCCCTCCTGGCCACAACTGCCACCTGTTCTTCAAACAGGAGTCGTGAGTCCAAGAGGACCCCCAGGTTATGCACCGGGTCTGTCTGGGGTAGTGCAACCCCATCAAGAACCAAAAATGATAAACTCCTAGATCTTGAGGCTCCCCATACCCACAGCCACTCCATCTTACCAGGGTTCATTTGAAGCCTGTTGTCCCCCATCCAGGCCCCTACAGCCTCCAGGCACCACAAAAGGGTAGCCACAGCATCACCTAGGTCACCCGGGATGGAGATATACAGTATAATTGAATATCATCAGCATACTGATGATACCTCATCCCACAGTGCCAGATGATCTCACCCAACGGTTTCATGTAGATGTTAAATAGGAGTGGTGAGAGCACTGAACCCTGAGGCACCCCACAAAGTTGGGACCATGGGTTGGACCTCTCACTATCAACACCGATTGGGTTCGGCCTTGGAGAAAGGACCAAGCACAGGATTGGATAAATATAAAACTGTATATAATATATATATATACAATAATATAAATATAAATATTTATATTATATTTTAATATAATATATAATTAT